TGGAATATGTAGTATACATATACATATATAGTATATTTGGAATACGGTATATTATATGTAGTCTACATATACATCTATTTTGATCTATTTTCCCAAACTAGAATGATTCACCTGAACGTTCAGGTTATTTTGGGATGGTTCTGTATGGTAGCTAGCCATCAATTGCAGTGATATTGCAGCGAGATTCTCCGATGATCCCCAAAGACTTCCCCCCATGGTTAGAGTTTGTGGAGCATTGATTCCTCAGGGGAACTTTGGGATTTGGTACTAGGCATTGGGTTACGTGGGGGTAGCTGTGGATAGTGGGGTCAAGAGTTTGGCATATTTTATGTATTCGAATGCGATGTTTTCTGTTTGCTCGTGCTTCTTTCATGAGTAGCCGTCTTCCACTGAGCTGCTTCGGGATCCATAGGCCATTTTCCAGCACATGGAGAGTGAAGGTCTTCTGGAAGTGAAAGGTGGGCCTTTGTGGTTGGATGCTTCAGGGAAGTTTTTTGAGCATCACAAGCTTCAGATAGTTGGATACCACAACACAACAATTAACAATAGGCCGTGAAATTACATGAAATTCAGATGGAACGTTTCAACATTTCGCGCTATTTCAATTTTGCCGATGCAGTTGCTTTTTAGGATTCATCTTGTGAAAGCCTTTTGCCCGACATATAGTTGGTGTGGGGTGTGTCAGGGCATCCTTTAAGATGCTGGTTGCATGTTACTTTTCATGGGCCTTATATATCTATATATATATATATATATCTATTATCTTGTTTTGGGGGATTCTCGCTAGATGATTCTCGCTAGATCCCATAAGAGGGTTCCAAGTCATTCAGGACCCTAACACTAACTTTTCACCCAAATTTTAGGTCTTTTGAATTTGGAAACCAATGATGAACAGGGGTATCCCATTTTATCTGGAAAAACATATGCAGATCATTACCTCCCATTTCATATGCGTGCATTCAGAATGTGTTGCTCTTCACCTTGCTTCTAGTTTGCAATTGTTGTTATGGTTTCACATGCCCCATTACGGGTCTCACAAGTCAGCCACATGTTTTTTTGCATTGGACCTTCATTCAGGGGCCGAAAGTTTGGCTCATCTTTGATCTCTTGCGGTTTTCCGGCACATGAAACAAGCGATTATAGAATAGCAACATATTATAGCAACAATGCTTTATTTCAGATCTGCTATATCAAGCTGGTTACTAAGACTCACTGAGCAGGTGGACAGAAGGCTACTGATCATGTTTTGATCCACAGCCAGATTCAGATGAATTCCTTGCGCCCCAAATAACATCAAATAACCATGGGAGGGAATTGTAGCAAGGTATTGGATGATTAGTAATCTGGGTTATCCTTAAATAACCCAATATCCATGCCCATAGGATCCATGTGTGCTATATATATGGCGACATGGATCCCATCAATATACCCCAGTGTAATATATACCAGCACCATGGATCCGTCATGGGATGGGAATTGACCCCAAGATCATATTGGATGTGTTCATTCTTCAGGTCTGGCTATGGTTGGTATAGCCACAGGGCAGGGGGGATGGGATTGCTCCAAAGGCCGAGATGTGGCGCTTCTGTCTGACCAAAGTGTCAAGGCGAAGGCTGGGTCGGGGTGGATTTGGGGAGGACTTGACCCCAGGCGACCCAGTCAATAGTACTTGCTTATCAACATGTTTTCCTGGTTAATCTATGGTTAATCTATGGTTAATCTATGGTTAGTCTATGGTTAATCTATGGTTAATCTATGGTTAATCTATGGTCTATGGTTAAGAATGGTTAATAAGTAGAATAACAATATATCTGGTTGGTGGTTTGGAACATGGCTTTTATTTTCCCCAATAGTTGGGATGATGATCCAATCTGACTTTCATATTGTTCAGAGGGGTTGAAACCACCAACCTGTTATCAATTATTGGATTGGTTTAAGGGACAATCTTAACCGGAAAGCCCTACAATTCAACTGTAGATTTTCCCATCAAACAATCCATTGAATCAAGGCTTTGGTGGACTTATCCACCTGGGTCACCTGAGCGGGTTGGATCCACTACAGTAGACCTTTTTTAATGGATCAACGGTTGATGGCTTGAATCTTCAGCTGCTCGGGGTTGAAAACGTTGCACCAGTTTTGTTTCGTGGGCGCACACATCTCTGTACCTCACAGGGATGATATGTTTGATGAGTTAACCATACGTATCATTTCTGGTGAATTTGGGGATAGGTTACTAGTGTATATACCCCATTGCTCCTCACATACCTTGCTAAAGGGTCCCAGTTGGAGCCTTGGGAGGTACATTGTTCTACTTGAGATTGTCTGACAATTGTGAGAATCCCATTCCATATCATTTTAAGATTTTATAGAAACATGACAGTTTTTTTATATGTCAAGTTATGTCGCATACCCCATTTCTGGACCAAGAACACGTACAGCTATTTACTTCTACGGGTACATAGTCTTGACTTTTCCTAGATTAGCCATTGAGACTTACTGTAGTGGGCAGTGCTGTCGTACTTGTCCTTTCGTTCGAAATTTGGCGTTCCTATCATTGTCAGGTAGGCACACTCATGAAGATGTGCTTTTATGATTCCCAGCTTCCTAAAACCCGTCAGCCCAACTGAAGAAAACATGTTGGAAGAGTTGTACCAAGCATTACCTTTTGGCAATCAAACATGGCAATGGAAAATCCACCATTTAGTTCGATGAATTTCCCAGCTATAAACCTTCATGTACACGTTTGATAGCCAGAAGGTATAGAATAATGAAGAACAACAAGTTTTTCACTCAGAAATTCTCCTATCTATTTTTAAACCAATGCTTCGGGATGACGTCACGGTGGCCGAAGGTTGTTTCAACGTCTCCCTTGCAGAGCCTCTACACGGATTTGCCCATGTTGGAGGTGCATCAACTCACGCTGCAGGATGAAATGATGGTGAAACTCAGCAAATCAGAACCCGTGCCCCAAAGTGTTGGGTCCAAGTTGCTTGGTATTGACAAGATAGATATGCATTAGATCATTAGATAGTATATATATATATACACTATATATATATTTATACTATCATTGTATATATCATTATATACAGAGTATAATATCATTACATTCAGTACATCCCAGTTTTGTGTCGTGTGTTTCACCTGGGATGATGATCCCCACAGGCACATGCCAAGAAGCGGCTGGAACGAAGGAAACAGCGACAGCAGGCGGCACGGCGGCACGGCAGCTCTCTGCTCGGGGGATACCCCCCCAACGTTGTGGACATAGATGCCATGATGATTTATATATAATGATATATAATTATATAATGATATATAATTTATATAATGATAATATATATATATTGATATAATTATATGACATTAGATATCAAGATATTTTTTGGGGTACCCTTTGGTAAACTAACAGTTTGCGAACTGGAAAACCACTATTTTAACAGGTAATTCGACTATAAATGGGTCATTTTCAATAGCAAAACGTTAAATTACCAGAGGGTACCCAATTTCAAACAACTTGAAAATACGGATTGCCGATCTGTTTTCTTTGGCTTTGTCATCGTTGAACATGCTTTGGGAATCACAGATTCTGATCTAATATTGGTATCCGACTGAATCAAACTAAAATCTAACTACAGTATCCTACAAGATACATTTCTTGTGACATAATTATGGTGGTTTTCCCACCCATACCTGCGAGTTTACCAGAGGAATAAACAAACCATGTTGTACATATTGTTACAACACATGTTGTAGATCTAAAGTCTGCGAAGATTCATGCCTACTGGTCAGATGTCTCCGGGATTGTTCAGAGTTCGTTTCAATAGCCTGAGAGCTTCGAAATTCTAACTTCACAGCTCTCATTTGCACATATTTGCACAACAGATTGCAATTCCTAGTAATCCAGTATGTATTCATGATATTGCATAGGGATGCTCTTCGGGGACAAGCGATTGAGCAGCCAGCTGATACCCCCCAGCACAACTGCTTCGTGAACTGCAGGCTAGACAGGCCACCAAGAGACGAAAGAAACAGACATGACGCGAAAAAATATGCCGCTGCCCTGTTGGTCCGTGATTCCAGAGGAGCCGGTAGATCCCAGTGACAACGCATGTGGCTTTCTGTATGTGTTTCCAAAGTTTTGCAAAACATGATATGTGAGTAACCGACATTTTTTTTGTCATAATAAATTTAGTTTGGCTTTGTCTCGGCCTTTCTGAAGTTGCACAAAATTTTCATAACCGATAGGGGACGACCCTATACCGATACCCCATTTGTGATACCTTCAGGAGTACTGAAATCCTCACAACCGATAGGGGACGACCCAAATTTGTGCATGGCATTAAATTTAACAAATATGTTTTGTCTGCTATACACAAGTACACAAATACACACTGTTTACATCGAAGCAGTCCCACTAGACTACACCTTTCATCTCGTTAATCTTGAGGTGCCATATGTGATTTTGTTATTTTGCGGACTCTTTTTCCAGAGGCAATAAGCTGATGATGGCATTTTCAGGCCAGTACCATGGTGCAGATGTGATTCCAAACCCCAATGCTGTCAGAGTGGAGTTAGATTCCGGTATCAAATTGTTCTTTGTTCATCCTGAAGTTTGCTTGGTGTAGAATCTTCCCCAAAAAGATAAGAATAAGACTAAGTAGATGTAGCAGTCAAGGTATGGAGTTTTGAACTGTTTGCTTGCCCCACGCTGAATTTCCTGCATTGATATTTGACTCTGTTAGAGTTCCTGGTTGACAGACTTGACAGACGGTGTATCATGCTTGCCTTTCCACGGCCCGAGCTGCTCCAGACGACCCCCCATGAATGATGTTACTGGATCAAAGAATCAAGCATCGGTTCATTTGCCATCTATCCAAGAAACCGTCCATAACACCACATCACATACGTTTGTTCTACTGGAACAAACCAACATGCTACCACAGAGCCCGAACGACTTAGCAGCTGAACTAACCATCCGAGCTTGGAACAGATCTTGACACCATTTTTCAGCCGACTGTTTCCTGACAAAGATGGTCCCGGCCTTGGCGAATCTCATGGGGATTCTGAAGAATTCCCCAAAGAGCCGGGCTTATTGAGGCTTTGCTCACGTTTGCTCATCACCAACAAGCGCAATTGATCATTCGGGGGTCACCGGTCACTGTTGAATCCCCTTTTTACACCAGGTCAAAGATCTCCGCCGGAGGGTCGCCTACCGTGCAGGTGGACCTTGGTTGCAGGATCATGCCGCGGATAGCTAAGTGGCTGACTTTGGCCACTCATAAATGGAATAGGCCTAGGAAAAAAGGGGACTTACGTTCACCAGGGTTGTTCACCACTTAGTGGGATGATTCTGCGAGTGAGGGGGAATGGGTGTTTATTATATATATAATTCATAATAATTTATATATATATATACATGTTCTTAGTAAGTGGAAAGAAGATACAGTGCAAAAACGATGACGAGTAGCATCCTACTAATTAAAGCTGTACTGATGAAATTCATTTGCATCATTTTTGGGGTTACTGCAATGGGTATGAAACTGGTCATATCATTGGGCAAACAGACAAGTGAAAGGAGGGGAATTGGTTAACGTTCAGCCAAACAGATCGAAAGCAGCTGAGCAGCCGAACTTGTGAATTGCAGGGGGTTGCCAGGTAGCAGCCCTAGGTAGCCCATGATCAGAGGAAAGCAGCTCTAGATAGAGCAAACGTGCATTGGTAGGTTTGCAATAATCCCCAACATTGTTTGAACATGGGACGTTTCCATCACCCCCTGGTTCAATAATCCGAGATATATATGGATAGTTTGATGGCAACACCGATGACAGACCACAATTGCGAATGACTGGAATTATGCCCAAATGGTAAATCCTTGTGTGTGTGTGTTTGTGTTAAATTCCTGGCTTTTGCTTTGTCTCCACCAAAATCTATAAGTTGTTATATTATATATATTTAAAATTGTTGATGGTAGTGAGAAACTCGATGGCAGAAGCAGGTCTACAGGGATTGTTTACCTTCCATGGGAGAACTCTGGAAAGAGTGTTTTGTTTACGTTGTCGTTGTTGTTGTTGTTGTCGTTGTCGTTGTTGTTGTTGTTGTTGTCGTTGTGGTGGTGGTTTTTGCATTCACCTTCTCTACTCACCTCATCTTTTTTTGTACCATCTTGTGGAAGATGCCGACAACTGACGTCAAGAAGAGTGAGACGGATGTCAGGATGTCACCAAAAGCGATGACTACAATGTGAGGCCCCCCAGTGATGTGAACGTTGGTTTAAATTCTCCCCAGTAACTATAGTTATATAAGTACCATAAACCATAGTTATTGGAGTTATAAACCAACTTAGCTATCTTGGGGGCCTCACATTGTACATCTTCAGACTCGTGTAATCTCGTGGGATATGAATTTCGCACGTGGGAGGGAGACGTTTGAAGACGCTGTACCAAAATCTGGCGCCAGATCGTCACTGTCACTCCGTCGTCCCGTGGCAGGTCTGATCCTGCTGGTAGCTGCCGCGTTACCACACGCGTCTTGGTACTGGCGAGCGGGTGGTTTGAAGTTGTTTCTTTTAAACCAATAGAGGGAGGAAGATACCAAGTATATCAGATGAATCAATGGGATTTATAATGATTATATAATATCAAGGTATTAGTGGGATCATATCATCATATTAGACGGATCCATGCCCTATTTGCTCACTTCCATATTAAGAGACACCTTCAACAGAATTGTCTGGCATCATGTTTTTTGGTTTGCTGTAAATTTGGCATCCAAATTTGGCGAAAATTCTCGGGATGACTTGCTGCTGAGGTTTTTTGTGGACCTTTCTCTGAAATCTCCAGAGCTGACAGACAGTTCAGGCACCCAGAAAGGATGGGACAACAAAACCCTGGAGGTCCCTGCTGTAAAATCTCCGGCGGCCTGTTGGAAAAAAAACATATTCTAGACCTTCCAACGTTCAATAATTTCTGTACTTTTGGGCTTTTGGCCGCAAATGACCGCAAAAAGCCGCAAATGCAGCAAATAGTTCAAATTGGACCAATCGTTCAGAAACACACTAGAACAACATGAAATTGCAAGAATGAAGCTGACTTGACGTATCTTGGCATGCTAGATGGGAGTTTCTGCATGTTGACAAACAAAGTGGACCTGCATAGCAGACGGCAAGAAAAACAAATCTACCGGTTGGTGAAGATTGGTGAAGAATATGACAAAACAACTAAAGCGCTCAAAGAAGGCTTTGGTGCGACGCTAAAAGCAATCTTTGCTGGATGGGAGACACCAGACCGCTATAGACGTTGAAACAGACTGTTTTTTTCTGAATTTGGGAAAAAACAGAACGCCCATGTTTTTTTGCAAGAAATGCCCGCAGGAAATGTCAAAACTGCTCTGAATTCAACAAAAATGTCGACAGTTTTCCCGCAAAAAGTGCGCAAATTTCCCGCAAAAATACGCAAATATCCGCAAAAGTACGCAAATCGGGATTTCTTAATTACTGCTGCGGTTCATGCATGTGACAAATCGCATCAAATCGCAGCTTGTTGGAATGAAAACTTATATTTCTGCAAACTAAGCATGCTTCAAACTAACTATTTTCAAATATAGCTTAGTATTCCTGCATGTTTGAGGCTTTGAATCTTTGGGGGCTCCCATCAACACAAACTCTGCAAATTTAAGAAAGCATGGACATTATCACCAGCAATTCCAATCGGTGAATTGTGAGGGACCCATTGCGGCAAGATATTTTAACCACCCGTGCCATATCTAAGGTGGCAGTCAGAACTGCTGTAAAGAGTTCACTTTTTGTTGAAACCGTTTACATTTTAGATTAAACGTTTCAATCGGCCCAAAAGTGCAGAAATCCCAATCGTACAGAATTTTCTGTACTTTGGAAGGTCCATGTGATACGGATGTTTGATGATGTTTGATGTTTGTACTTCGAATACATGGAACCCACCTGACCCCTATCTTGCAGGTGGTGCATAGTATAGGCAATTTTCATACGATTCACACGGTTCATGTTGGTTCCAGGGCTGCAATAGTTTAATATGTGCGGCAGTGGATAGGCATCTATAGCAAATGTCTGAATAGTACAGCCGAAAACTGAGGTGAAAGAAAACTGTCTTTGGAAGATGATGTTGGTATAGAAAATGCACGGGTTTGAGTCCAATTTTTCAGGTCAGCTGCAGGTTCCAAGGCCAACATCTTTCATTGCCTTCTTTGGCAACCTGTCAAACCTCTTATATAACTCTTGTAGCACTTAACTCCCAAAACGATAGAATAGAAAGTTACGAATTCGCTTGTTATAGCCTATAGCTGCTATAGCTCTTCTTGTACTTCTATGTGTTTCTGCCAACTTTATTTCAGGGCAGGCCGCCGGGCAGGCCATGTCTGGGACATTCCGCCCAGGCGAAACAATGCGCGCCTGCCACCTTTAGAACCGTCCACGGACGGCGGGCGAGTCGCGCCGCTCAACTTTACGAGCAGCGTCGCTCTTGCTGCTTTCACAGTCCGGGGACCTACGGTCTACGGTCTACCTGGGTTTGTTTCTCTGCTAAACGTTGACAGTTTGCATAGTTTGCTATGGAAAAGCACCATTTTTTAAGTTCGATAAATCAATGTAAATCAACTATACAATGTGAGGCCCCCAAGATAGCTAAGTTGATTTATAACTCCAATAACTATGGTTTATGGTACTTATACTGTAACTATAGTTTCTGGGGCTTATAAACTAACTTATAACTGGGGGGCCTCACATTGTATATTTCTATGTGCCATGTTCAATAGCTATGTCTATGTAACAAATTACCAGAGGGTAAGGTGTTTCTGTGTTTTTCCGAATGGTCAATGGGATGGTTCAAGGGAACATCTTCACCGGAAACCACGGATATTCCCAGGAAATATGGGGGGGGCTTCCTGTGAATTTTCCCTTCAACCGATCCATCGAAATGGATTGAAACGGAACATCCACCGGAACGGAACGCTGCAACGGAACCTGCTGGTCTGCAAAGCTGGGTTAATTCGATGACGATTTCAGTCTATAAATTCCAGGTTTCCAACTGTTCTATTTTTACCCCCCACAGGTACTTCACCATATACTTTCATATGGGTTTCTTTAGGGTTTCTTTAGGGTTCATTTGGGGTTAATTAAGGGTTTTTTCCTAGGGGTTTATGTCAAAGGGACCGAAAACAGCTTTTGAAAATCAGCCGATTCCTCGCACAGGGCCATCAACCACGTCCCTCACGAAGCCTCGTGAGGGATATCAAGTTAGATCATCCCAACATAGTGGAAGGCCCAAAAATGAGGTTCCCGACAATCATCTCAAAAGAGTTTGGGGCATAGCACAAGTGCTGGCCGTATTTTTGTGGAATGCTGCACTCAAAATTGGAATCTCATAGTATGTATTTAGTAGGGGAACATGGTTTTTGCACACGGTGGGCTGGGTTTTTTCAAAACCTGAACAACCTTAGGAAGCCAGTTTCAACGCAGTCCAGCCATTTGCAAACGAAATGCGTTCCGTTTTTAATGAATGTAATGAATGTATATACTGTAGAATCAAGGTTTTAATCCTGCCTTCCAACATCAGCAGTTTCAATGTTTTGCTAGCGTCTTCAACGTCACATAACGGTAGTGGTCCATTGGAGAACATCATTTCATCCCATGATTTCGACCTCCTCAATGTATCTAAACGGTAGCAAATATGTTTGGTTGGTGGTTTGGAACATTTGGATTATGTTTCCCATCATATTGGGAATGTCATCATCCCATTTGACGAACTCCATCATTTTTCAGAGGGGTAGGTATACCACCAACCAGATGTGTAAATCCCCGACTGAACCATGGTTTCTGGGGGTTCCCTCCGCCGACCCCAACTACCCTTGATGAATTCCCATCAGCCAGACGCATTGGAGAAAAAGCGTCAATGCCCCATGATGTATCATGCTGATCATGGATAGTATACTATAATTTATGTATTATCAAAGATGATCAAAGATATGATCAATGTATATTAAGCTAAATGTTAAATGATAGATGATTACAGTCCCATTCAGTATAGATATGTACATATTATTGATGATCATTGTAAAATTATAGATACGAGCATCTTTCAAGGATTTCATAGATGACATATATATATATATATATATATCATATATCTACATATATATATATACATATATATTATATAATAATAAAATTACTATTGTTGTCCCGTCCCATTCATCATGGTTTCTATTTCACCCTGGTAAAATGTCCCCAGCCCACCTACTGTAGGCAGCGTGCTTGGTCTTGTCGACGCTGTCAACTGCTGCTGTGGCACAAGATCCCATGATGGCGGAACTGGACATCGTGGCAGGGATGTGATGATATATGGGTATCAGGAAGTACAGTTCCAGTTACACATGGATATATATATATATATGTATATAATATATTAATATGTGTATAATATATATATATATATATACCTAGGGAATAGTTTACCTACTTCTTTTTGGGGTTGAACACAAGTTACACAGGTTACCTGGCTTTTAATTGCAAAACTGGTGATCGGCATCCAAATTGATTATCCTCCAGTGGATTTTGGTGGCTGTAGTGGCTACAAATTGAGGCAAGTTGTTCCACTACCCTATTTCACTCGAATGGTATCATGTGAACGGTATAATATCAGATCAGACTTTGGGGGACCACATGACCCCCCCGCACAATGGCACTACCATCTGACAAATCCCGGGAATGGATTTACCACAAAAATTATGATACAGAGATAGTGAACGCAGCTGGCTTGTCACCATCCACTTAGATTTATTGATCATAGGTTTGCCAAAACCGTCCCTTTCTTCCAAGCAGACTTTGAAGTGGGCGCTCGAGCAAAGAAGCTTTTGTGATTTGCAGCACTTTTGGTCTAACTTGAGGCACATGCAAATACCCGTCAAATCATATAAATACCAATAAATTGCACTTACAGTAAATATACCTGGGAATCCTGCATTAGATACCTGGGATTTCTGCAACGTAAAAATTGTAAACGATAAAATCCGAAAAATACCCGTTACAAAAAAAAGGAAAGAAAAAAACAACAAATTGGTTGGTACTCGTAAAACAGGTCCAGAAGTACTTCAATTGGTTCGAGCTGCCTTTAACCCTCTTTGCCAGCTTTTTCGCCAACTATACAGCTTCAATGGTGTTGTTTTGACACCTAATAGCTTCGAGGTGCAGCTAGGGGAACCTTGGCAGTTGTGGCTGCTGTTACCATCACATTCATGTCATGCCATGGCTGCGAAGAATAACATGCCATGCTATGTTTATCTCGCTTTCTGGACTTACTCATGCCTGTTTCCACTAGCTATGAGACAAAATACCTGGTATTTCTTGGTTTACCTGGTTTCTTGGCGTAATCAGATTGAATAAGGTTACGCGGAAAAAAGGAGGTTTTGGAAGCTCAAGGTATATACTGTATATATATATAATGTATCAACAGGTATATAGGGGTCCCATATCCCAATTTATGGGTTTAGTTCACCATGCTACCCAATTGTAACATCAACTGCCCCCTGAAGTAGGTCAGTATGAAACCAAGCAGTTTTGGAGGGCCATTTTTGACCAACTTGGCCCACCAAATATGTCACATGATTTCGGGTCTCAAACTGTTTGAGACCAGCTATGATGAAATCCCTAGGGCCAAGTTGAGAGTTGATCACAGTTCAACTGTCCTTTGGGCAGCGCAGGACCAACGTCCCTACATCGAGAGGTGTGCCTGTTGGGCTTTGGTCAAAGTATGGTGACTTCACCTGATTTTCAAGAAACTGGCTGGAAACCCGCGTCTTGAAGGGGACAAAAAAAACACAAGATTTTGTTCATGTTTAGTTGATATATGTTGATATATGTTTTATACAATATTAATAATGTCATTCTTGATGGCTTTTCTGTACCTGACCAATTTAGTCGATCTGGCCTCAACGGGTTGGGAACGTGCAGATGTGTTGGGCCTATACCCACAAAGATTTCCCCAGACGCTTCGTCTGGTTGGATGGCCATATCGGACATCAAGGCCGACATTTTGGTGCCCAGTGATGTTTGTTGGATTATAACCTCCAACAACTATAGACTACAGAGATATACCTGGCATAAACGAGCACCAGTTGTAAAATGTTATAAAGATGATTTAGCCTTCATACATCAAGTATAAACTTCTATCAAGTTATTGGTAAGTTGTTGGTTAAATCCCAATTTTGTCTATATACCGTTACAATATGCATTTGGTTGTTGTTGAAGCCCGTTGGCCCCCGCGCTCACAGGAATCCCCCGCAACCTCCACCGGATGACGACAAAGCACCGGACATTGCTCCTGAGGTTCCGGTTCCCCGAAATTCCCCCAGAGGTCATCGGACAGGTTTGGAATATGGTGTCTATCTGGTTGGTGGTTTGGAAGATTGTTTAATAGTGGTTAATGGTGGTTGATAGTGGTTAATAATGGTTAATGAGATATATACTGGTTGGTGGTTTGGAACATGAATGGATTATGACTCTCCATTCAGTTGGGAATTTCATGATCCCAACTGACGAAGTCCATCATTTTTCAGAGGGGTAGGTATACCACCAACCAGTTGATATACTATATAGTTGGTGTTATATATATATATATTGTTTTTGGGTAGTTTCACTGTACATACTAATGTATCACTCATTCTACCGTGTTGCATTGGCTCAAGAAACAAGCGCTAACTTGTTGTGGTTTTCGGGCTGTTTAATCTGTAAAACAGGTTATCAGCCGTAAGCTTACTTCTCTTTCGTAGGCAATGTCTGCCCCCTCGGGTTCTTCCACCGAGGGCACCGGGCGCATGTCCTCTGACGCCGCCATGGCCAATCCCGGTAACTTGCCTATAAGTAACACCCCATTTAATTTTGATATAAGCACCCCACCATCTTCCGATAAGTCACGAAGCCTAAGGGAACGCCGCCACTTCCCACCCATGGGTAACGCAATTGTGCCTTCCCATGTGGGTTTCAACCACCGTGGTTGTGTTCCCCAAGCCGCTCGGGAGGGTGGGCCGCCGACTCGCCAGTTGAACCAAATGAATGTTCACAATACATTTCATCACAATGTGCAAATGGATAATCCTCAAGTCAATTTTGTCGAGCAGAACTTGCATGTCCATTCACATGATCCTGCAGTGACAAGCCTTGTGGAAACAGCGGCCGAGCTCCGTCATCGTGAGGTGTTGGCTCACACCGAAGCTCAGGCCGAAGCCGTCCACACAGCCAAGACTGAGGAGTTGAAGGAAGCTCTGCGAGTCCGCGAGGGCATTGAAAGTCAGAGGGCCCTTGATGCTATCAGAATCAAAGAACAAGAACTTTTAAATGCGGGTGCCCAATATAAAGAGAACTTACAGCATGAGGCGCACGAACACGTAAGGTTCCGTGAAGCTCAGATGAATGAGAAAATTCAGGCATATCAACGTGTCATCGATGCTAACCATCGACAATCACTATCAAGTAAGGAGCAAGAGATCCTTGAGTTGAAAAGGGCAGCTGAGGAAGAGAGAAGAATTCAGAATGAACGCATTACACAGCTTGAACACATGGTACAAGCCCAGATGCAACACAATCTGAAACTTCAAAGTATGCTCGATTCCCAATTTGCTCAGGTTCGTCCAAGTCCTATTGTCGAGACTGCCGCCATGACGATGACAGCCGGAACACACACATCAACCGAGATCTCAAATTTCGAGTTTGTTCCACCAACCCGCAAAGCTGCACCTGCAGCGCCTCCGACGAGTGTTGCCCGACCTCCTATTCCAAGAGCACCATTTAGCTTTACTTCACCTGGTACTGAAACTTATGAAAAAGATGGCATTGAGATTATTTATCATGATCCATCATATCGAATCCCAGTTCAAGTGAAGAAAGAGTCGGATGTTGCAAGGTCTTCCGCTGAGGAACGCCCTTCGGGAGGAGAGGCCAATAATCGACGCCGAGATAACCATCCCATGGATAATGTCAATTCCCCTGCGCCGACCAACCAATATGCCCCGACCGAACTAGGCCCAGATGAAGTGGACTACTTCGAGCCGGGGGGAGACGATCTGCCAGATGGTGACGATCCCGGGGATGGAGGAGATGGCAACGGAGGGAACGGGGGAGGTGGACCACCCTCACCACCTGATGACAAGCCGGAGGGAAATAAGGGTCGTAAGATTCCCAAAAAGAAGGGAAATGATCAAAACCCCCCCGACGGTGGTGATGACGGCTATGATGATCCCGATGATGATGATGATGAAAAGTTCAGGCGAAGAATGATCAAATTTCTTGGTGGTTACGTCGACCAAAGGCATGACGATAAACCCAAAGTCAAGGAAGCTGACACTATCAAAATTCCAGCTTTCCCATTGGCGGAAACCAACCGTAATTGGAGAATCAAGACCAGAGAGGCAGTTGTAGCAGCATCAACCGATCCCGACAGTGCTTTCAAGTGGGTTAGTGATTCTTGGAAAGAAGATCAGACTCTTGAAGCGCTCCGGAAGGTTGCGCCGTTTGCGACACTTGATGCAAAGTTACTTTCTGCACTCACCAACATTATCACTGGTGACTTCGCCCGAAAGGTAGACACCTTCAAAGAGACTGAAGCCACCGCTGGACGAATTGTAAGAGGGAGACAAGTGTTGTTCATGTTGCATGACCACTTCAGTACCAACATCAAGCACGGAGCGACCTATGCCCTTCAAGATTTGTTCAGTGTCCAATTGCGTGGGGAGAATTTGAAGTCTTTCATTTCGAACTGGGATCAAGTGTTGGCTGGTATCGTCCAGACTCCTGATGTAAGTGTATTGGAGACACTCTTCTACAAACAAGTGAAGAATTGTAAGGCCATTCAACATGACATGAATGAGTATCATAGAGCTGATGAAGGAACCGAAAAACGAAACTACAGTTTCCTTGTTTCTGCCGTGCGACGCCACCTTGACCGTGAGAGGTTGGAGGCAAATCGTGATCGAGTTGCCAAAGGTCTTTCGGGTTCCGGTCGTCCCTCCGCTCCAGCAGTCGAGGGCAAGACAGGATTCATTCCCAAGGGGTATTGTGTGGCATGGAATAAGGGAGGCTGTAGCAAGGACAACTGTACTTACAAGCATGAAGTCCCCAAGCCACGTGATAGAAGTCGTAAACCCAGCAAAACCAGAGGTCGCTCAAATGAACGTTCTAGTTCTCCCAGACCAAAGGGGAAAGGTAAGAAGATTTGCAAGTTTTGGAAACAGGGACGTTGCGATAGAGGAGCTGATTGCAAATTCCTTCATGAGGGTTCAGTGGGAAAGCCAAGACAAGCTACTCCTGCCCGTTCGGCCAGTAGCGAAAACAAAAATAAAAAGAGAAATCCCAAGAACCCGAAAAGGAAGGGATCCCGAAGCTCTAGCCGCTCTAAGAGCCCCAAGAGCCCGAAATCCCCGAAGTCTAAAGGATCCGGGGCCAGTTCATCTAAGCCGTCTCCTGCCGCAGCTTGTCTTGTTGCATCCATGCTTGCATCCGTGTCTCAGGCATTTTGTATCCCTCAACCAAGAGTATTTTGTCCATCGATTCGTTTTGATGATTCGCCAGACGTATCTCATGTTAAAGTCCGAGGGAACTTGAGGCCAATTGGAAACGCAGTCACCAAGGATAAGGTTACCTTTCCATGGGGGCATCAGTTTGAAGTTGATCAACTTGCGGTGAATGATGCCGCTTTGACCGGCACCATGTTGGCAGGATCTGTTTCCAATTGTCTTCGGGGAATAGAATGCAAATGTGCCTATTTATGCGACACAGATTTTGGTTGCAATGAATGTATCCCAAAGGGAATCAAAGCCACCCCTGCGGAATGTAGAGAAGACGTGAAGGGAGCGATCAACCTTGAACTCGACTGGATTGCAGATACGGGGAGTGCTCAAGATCTTGTCAACGATAGCGAATTGCCAGATGACTATGGATACTACTCCAACAATCCCATTCGCATGATTACTGCCAATGGTGAAAGTTCGTCATCAAAACAAGGGAAAGTATTTGTTCCAAAATTAGGCAAGACCATTGACCCATATCTTGTTCGAAGCTCACCTCCTGTCATTTCAGTCGGGATGAGATGCATTGATGATGGTTACGATTTCATATGGAGAGGATCCAAAGGTGAATCTCCTTACATGATCAAACCAAATGGGGAACGCATTGAGTTAGTTGTCAGAGATTACGTACCCTACTTTGCAAATAATTCGGAGACGATTTCCACTCCATCAACTCAGCCTAGACCAAGTATTGCCACCCCGGCATCAGATGAAGCTCAACAATCTCCGGAGCCCGATGGGGACATTGAAATCATTGGTGATGACCCCATGGGTATCAATGTTGATTTGCCGGAGCCCCAGCCCTTGGAGGCTGAGGAGGTTGATGTTCCTGATGCCGACCGGGAGGTTGAGCCGCCTGTGGAAGGATCCAAGGGTAGCAGTAGTAACGTCCATGATGATGGTGCTCACAAAAGGTCACTTGGGGAAAAGGAATTGAAAGAAGGAGCTAAGTCTATCCGACATATGCTGACTCATATCCCTAAGAACCCCTTTTGCGACATATGTACCAGAGCTAAGATGTTCAAGCCACCCTCTAGAGCTGTAGGCGGATCAACCAAAGTTAAAGCTGAGAAATTTGGTGACCACATAACCGCTGATTTTATTGTCACCAGAGATGAAGATGAGTTGGGAATTGATGAGGAGAAAAGTGCACTCGTGGTAAAAGACATAGCAACAGGATTTACGTATGTCTACCCCAATGCCAGACGAACCACCAATGCTGCTATCTTGGCAATCAAACATTTTGTTGGACATGAAGATAAGATAGGAGTTTTCTACAGTGACAATGCGCCCGAGTTGATCTCAGCAATGAAGATCCTTCAGTGCCGTCATGTTTTAAGTAGGGACTACATATCCAAGTCCAACGCCCAAGCCGAGAGAGCGGTCCGGTCAGTTCTTGAAGGCACTCGTGTCAATCTGCTCCAAGCAGGTCTGAATCATTGGCACTGGCCACATGCTGCCCGACATTGGTGTTTCATGCAGAATGTCATTGCAACGGGGGGAGACAAATCGCCATGGGAATTACGTTTTGGATCGAGATTTGATGGTCCCCTCATTCCTTTTGGTTGTCTTGTCGACTATTGGAATGGACCGAGAAAGAAGAACAAGGATGGACTTCGTTTCGACCCAACATCGAGCCCTGGTTTATTCCTTGGCTATGCCATTCACCCTGAATTTATGTGGAGAAAAGAATTCATGGTTGTACCTACAAAGGATCTTATTGAAAATGAATCCAATGGTACTGCATCAATTCTGCGGGTAATCAAG